TCTGGACCAAGAAATAACATCCACTTAACGTTTCCTCATTGTCTTAACCTAACTGTTGAGGTTGGTGACCAATGGGATTAAGCCGTGGGACCTGTTAGTGCTGTGTATTGGGTTGTGATTCGCTCCCCATTGGGCTTTTGTTTGTGCTTCAGCCCCCTAGCTGTGCTTTTCCCCATGGGAAGAAGTGGAAGGGAATGTTCTGTAGCAGTGGTTCTCAACCTTCCTAATGCCGCGACCCTGTAATACAGTTCCTCATGTTGTGGTGACCGCCAACCATAAAATTATTTTCGTTGCTACTTCATAACTGTAATTTTTTTAAAATATATTTTATTGATTTTTTACAGAGAGGAAGGGAGAGAGATAGAGAGTTAGAAACATCGATGAGAGAGAAACATCCATCAGCTGCCTCCTGCACATCTCCCACTGGGGATGTGCCCACAACCCAGGCACATGCCCTTGACCAGAATCGAACCCAGGACCCCTCAGTCCGCAAGCCTCCGCTCCATCCACTGAGCCAAACCGGTTTCGGCCATAACTGTAATTTTGCTACTGTTATGAATCGTAATGGAAATGATCTGATATGCTATATGTGTTTTCCGATGGTTGCGACCCACAGGTTGAGAACCGCTATAGGGTGGCCAATGCTGCCATTCTACTTTTAGGTCAACAATATGGATCAGACCTTTTTGCTTAAATTATTTTGTTTAATATGTCAATATTATTAAGTATCCACTGCAAGGGGCATTTATTACAAAGGTATGAAGACAATATCATCATTTAAGAGACTTGGAGGACACAGCTCCTACAAGGGGTACCCATTTACTCAATCTGAATCATTGCTTTGGTTACCCTTGGACTTAAACCCTCCATGAGTTTAGCAGCATGTCTGCTGTCTGGTCACTGTGAGATGTGTATTGTCACTGACACAAGGCAATAACTGATGAGTAACAGTTGATAGAGCCTCAAAGGGTGGATCAGATGTGTGCAGGAGTTATGGTCAGTAGAGTTATTGCTACTAATGCTTGTTTCTTTACCTTCAGCTCCTGAGTCTTAACCATTCCTCAAGACCCGAATAAAAGAGGTCAGATAATGACAGCAATGTCCTTAACAGCTGGGCCCCAGGTGAGCTGAGTTTCCTCTGTTTCTACATGAATACATATATGTATATACACATATATTTACATATGCATGTATGCTTATATATATGCACATAGACATTCATATAACATATATACATAAGTATACATGTATGTATATACATATGTAATATTTATATATATAAAATATGTACATTTCTCAGTGAGGTATTATTTATCTACAATATAAATCTGAACTGTATAGCTCACTTTTTAAAAATATACACACCTGCCCTGGCCAGTGTGACTCGGTTGACTGTCGTCCCATGCACCAAAATATCGCCAGTTTGATTCCCTGTCAGGGTGGGTTGCAGGCTCCATCCCTAGTAGGGAGTGTGCAGGAGGCAGCCAATTGATATTTCTTTCTCTTTCTCCCCCTTTCCCTTCCTCCCTCTCTAGAATCAGTTAAAAGAAAACATATTTAAAAATATATATACACACTTGTATGACCATCACTCATATTAAGACATAGAACACTATCACTACCACAACAAGCTCTATCATTTGCCATCCCAAGCAGTCCACCCCAAAGTTGACTGTTATTCTGACCTCTGTCACCGTAGTTTAATTTTATTTGTTTCTGAACTTCATGTAAATGGAATCATTCAACATGTATTCTTTTGTATCTGCCTTATTCTGTTCACCAATGTGTTTATGAGCTTTACACATAACAGTCCTTTTTAATTGCTGAATAGTTTTCCATTATATGATTATATTACATTTTATTTATTCATTCTCCTTCTTCTGTGGATGGATATTTTTATTGTTTTCGGAATGCAGTGAAAATTCTTGTATATGCCCTTTGGTGGACACGGCGCTCATTTCTCTTGGGTGCGTCTTTAGAAATCAAATTGCTAGGTCATAGGGTATACATTTGATTAGTTTTAGTAGATGCTGCCCAACAATTTTCTGAAATGGTTGTTCCAATTTATATGTTTGCCAGCAGTACATGAGAGTTCCAGTTGTCTCACATTCTTAACAACACTTGTCATTCATTATTGCTAACTCGTTTTTAGATTTCCTTTTCCGCACAACCAGTTATATGGAGCACTATTTCATATATTTATTGGCTACATGGATCTCCTCTTATGTGAAGTCCCTGTTCAGTTATTTTCCCCATTTTTTAATACATCATATGTCATTTTTTTTCCTCCTAGTTATAGTTCTGTATTATGGATATGAGTTCTTTGTCACCTATATGTGTTATGAAATATCTTCTCCTAGCCTTTGGCTTGCTTTTTCACTCTCTTAGTGGTGTCCTTTGATAAGCAGATTTTTCTTTAGCCTGTTCCAAGCAGTGTTTTCCTATTGGATCTCCAAACTCACTACCTTTGCATGGGGGTGGGGAGTAATTGACAAATCGGAGAGCTCTGTGCTTGGGGTAGTGGACAAGGAGACAAGAATGAGGGAAGAACTGGGATGAAAGCAGAATTGGGAAATGATAGTAAAATGAGCACCCCAAATAATCACTAGCTATTACAAAGTGGGGAGGGACTGAGAGCTAAGGTGTCAGCCATATCCAGTTCCATATTAGTTCTCTGCCGGGAGCCGTTCCATCCTTGCTGCTTGACACAGTCACTGCAGGGAAGAAACATCTGCACAGTATATGTTCCAAAGGGACCTGGCGTGTATGGCATACTGTTCTTAATATGTTTGCTTCCCCTTCTTAGCGCTATGTGTTCTAACCAGGGCCACCTCCCCGAGAAAGGTTGTTTCCCCAGGTGGGAATGTTTCCCTGGAGTTAGGGATTAATGGGACTAGGGAAGGGAATAAATCAGTAAAACCCCCTAGTGTTAAAGAAATACCGTGTACTACTTATGAGGAACTTAGACTAAGACTATTAGCAATAAATTTAGGACTTGAAAGGCCCACATCCCCAGGGGTGTACCCACCAGAGAAAGTACCAAAACCTATACCCCTAAAAACCCGCCAACGCAGGGCAGTCCCAAGGAAGACCACCAGCAAGGCTAAAAGGACATAACCTTTACTTAGACCATAGAATAGGAAAATCTCCTTTACTTATTTCCTTATAGCTTAACAGTAGAGCAGTAGAATAGTGACCTTGGAATAGAAATAACAAACTAGCCCTTATAATGAAACACAGAGACTAACCTTTAGAATAGAATGTAGAAACATAGACAATAGATAAGATTAAAATCAACAGAGCTAGATAGAGGTAAGATTTTTAGCAAAGGTCAGATAGGAAAACAAGGAACTGTAAAAGGTCCAAGGAGGACCCAAAACATACCATGATGTAACTATAGAGGCGTGCTTATAGAATCAAATAGTATATATGCAGCTGTAACAGGGCAATGAAGAAGAACCTGACTATGCTGATCATCTGAACACTGTGTCTGTGTCCTTCATTCTTCGCCGACACCGTCTGTTATGCCCAGATTTCAGGATCCCCAAGAAACCACACCAGGGAGCCAGCCGTGTCTGATGCAAAAGCATAAGAGTCTTTATTCAAGCCCGGGCTTCGCTCCCCCAGCCTCCTTACCGATGCAGCGGCGAGATGAGAGAGAGAGAGGGAGGGAGAGAGGGAAAGGAGGGGAGGTCCTTGCTGAGCACATGGCTGCTGCCCAAAATGGAGGATTTGGGGCAAGATGGAGGGCGTAGCCCTCACCCTTTCACGTCCACACCTTTGGGAACCCCTGGACCGCTGGGGCTGGACCCCGGCAGTTCTGTTTTTATTATGTATGTAATTTCATGCTCAGGCTCAAGCCCAGCTCCTATATAGTAGTCTATTTGGAGGTCACTTATATTGGAAGCTCATGTATTTGATTCTAACTTGGAAAGCATGCTGAACTCTGGCTGCCTTTAATTTGCATCCTCTTTCCCCACACCTTCCAAATTTTACACAAAAACTCACCAGGCACATGAGGGACCCAATACTAAATACATACCATTGTAGGTGCCCTTCCCAGGCCTTTCATTGACAGTGTTGACCAGCACCAAAGTCCTGAGGCCTGGAAGAGCAGCAGCTTGTTGTTTCAGGAACTGGTGTCTTTTGAGGATGTGGCCGTGTACTTCACTGCGGAGGAATGGGCCAGCCTGGGACCTGCTCAGAGGGCCCTGTACAGGGATGTGATGCTAGAGAACTACGCGGCTGTGGCCTTGCTAGGTAAGGCCTCTGCCGTGGGTCTCTGCCTGGGCCCTCAGAAGGTAAAGGGCTCTCTTACACTTAGTAGCTGACCCCAAATGCCAATGTCAAGAGTTGCCAGGTACAGACAGCCCCGGTGTCTGATCTACAGGAAGGCTTTCCTTCTTCTTCCACCATAAAAGCTACCCCTCCTCGCCTTAGAGGAGTACCCTCACCCTAGCATTGAGCCCTCAGATTATCTTGAGAGAACTCGGCCCCCCATTCTCCCTGTGGGAGTTGCTCCTAGGAGCCATGTGTCTGTTTTCCCCCAGTGAGAATTTCCCATCCCCTAGCAAAGAAGGTAAGAAATTTTGTTTCCCTTAAATAGAAATTTGCCTCCCAGGGTATTACAGGCTTCCTTGGGAGCATGATCCTGAGGCTTCTTCCCAGGACCCCTATTTAGGGTACCTCTAGCTCAGTCCACCCAGGAATTGCTCTCCTCACCTCTGGCTACAGCTCAGTTCTAGCCATAGGCTGAGGTTGACCTCTTGACCTCTAATCTTTGTGTGTGCCTTCTTTCCTTCAAGCAGCATCACCCAGTTTCAAACCAGCTCTGATCTCTCAGCTGGAACACGGGAAAGAGCCGTGTTTCATCGAGCTACAAGGCCAGAGTTGGAAAGCAGACCTTGCAGGTGAGTTGAGCAAGGGGTGCCCTTGCCAGCGGTGTCTCTTCCTTTGCTTTTATTTCATCAACATGGGAGATACGTGTTCTTTGTGAAAAGCATCGTGGAGTACATTGGGATCCTTGCTCACACTCTGGGATGTGATTCATTGCTTCCTATCCGTTTACACCAAAGCATGTCAAACTCATTTAACGAGGCATGCGCCCCAGCGGCTGAGAGTTTGACATGCTTGCTTTACACTGTAGTAAACACCCTGCTTGAGCGTTTAACACACTGGGATGCTTTTATCCCTGGGGATATGTGGAAACGTTTTTCTAAATACTTGTCTGCTTGTATGCATATATGCATAACCCGTGGATACAGACAATAGGGTGGTGAAGGTTTGGGGCAGGGGCGCCAATGGGGGGAAAAAGGGACATATGTAATACTTTCACCAATAAAAATTTTTTAAAAATAATAAATACTTGTCTGGTTATGTGCGATCACTTTTTTTCCAGTTTCCCTCAGTTTTACAAAATTGGTAAACTCAGTGTAGTGTTATTATCTTGTCTACTAACCAACAGAACAGATAGAAAAATTTATTTTTGCTTTTCACGATAATATATTAAAATTCTATTTTTTATATTGAAATACTTTAAGGTAGCTTACAGATACTTTGATTTTTCCTTCCCTTTAGGATACAGCGCAAAATTAAGAAGATGTGTCCTCTTAGCTAAAATGATGTCACATGCCATAAAATTGAAACTTCTTCAGAATCATCTCTTCGGGGAAGACAGGACAAAGGCTTAATTCCTTACGTTTAAATACCACTTTTCAGAGTAATGAGTTGATTTAAGAGCCATCTTAAATGATGCAAGTATGCATTTTCTTCTTCTGCTGACACATGCATTTCCTAGATTTAATGTTTTTCATTCATTAAAATTGTTCATGTTGATATGCAAAGCTTGCTTACATGTCCTTTTTAAAACAGCTTTATTGAGATATAACTCACAAACTCTGCAGTTCATCCATTTAAGATGTACAGCTCAGTGGTATTTAGTATATTCAGATTCGTGTAAGAATTACTATAGTCTACTTTTAGAACATTTGTTATCAAAAAAGAAACCCTGTATCCATTAGCAGTCACTGACCATCCCTCTCTCCCCCCACGTTCATTTTAGGCAGCCACTTACTTTCTGTTTCTACAGATTTGCCTGTTGTGGCTATTTGGTATTAATAGAATCATACTTAGCTGGTCATGTTCAGCTGGCTTTCACTTTCAAGTTTCTTTCATTTTGTAATATGCTAGTGCTCCATTCCTTTTATGTGTGAACAAGAGGCCCAGCACATGAAATTCGTGCACAGGTATGGTCCCTAAGCCTGTCCTGCGGTCAGGGCCATCTTCGCTGGCTGCTCACAGCCGCCCCACCCCCCAGCTGCCACCCACCCCCGGTTCCCCTTTTGCCATCTGGTGATCGGTGCCTGACAGCTGTGGGAAGGGACTGAGAGTTCAGCTATTCCCACCTGCTCGCTGGCCCTGCCCCCGCCGCAGGTCGCCTTCAGTGTGTGGGGCGACAGGCGGGGTGGGGGCCTTGGCCTGGTGCCACCCACATTCCCCACCACCCACCCCCAGTTCCCCGTTCGCCATCAGGTGATCGGAGCCTGCTGGCTGGAGAAAGGGACCGAGAGGTGGTCAGTGCACCTCATAGTGACTGGTCCAGTGGTCGTTCTGGTCGTTCCACCTTTAGGGTCAATTTGTATATTACCCTTTTATTATATAGGAATAGAGACCTGGTGCATGTGTGGGGACTGGCTGGCCTGCCCTGATGGGGGCCCTGGATCTGGGTGGGGAGTCCCCACTAGGTCGCAGGACTGGCTGAGGCAAAGGGCTGAGGGTGGTTTGCAGGCTGGCCTTGCCCCAGTTGAGGTTGGGGGGGGTCTCGGCTGGGAGGCGGGGCCGGCCTGGGTGAGGGGGGGCAAGGGGCCACTGGGGGTTTGCAGGTCAGCCATGCCACCAATCGGGGTGGGGGGGTCCCCGCTGGGGGTGGGGCCGGCCTGGGCGAGGGACCGTGGTATTTTGGTCTCTGGTCGTTCCAGTTGTGATTGTGTTATGGTCGCTGGCTTTTTTTATATATAGATAATACCCATTAGATGGATAATATCACATTTTGCTTATCCATTCATTAGTTGATGCACATTTGGGCTGTTTCCACAGTTTGGGCATCTATAATAATAATAGCATAATATGCTAATTAGACAGCTATCTTTACGGATGTCGTTCTGAGATGAAGCCGGGGTTGCAGCTGCCACAGCTGCGAGGGAGGGATCCAGGCAGCCACTATAGCTGTGAGGGAGGGATTGAGGCAGCCACAGCCGCGAGGCTTGCACGAATTTTGTGCATTGGGCCTCTAGTTATGAATAATGCTGCTATGATCATTAGTGTACAGGTTTTAATGCAGACGTATGTTTTCATTTCTTGTGGGTACATACTCTAGATATATACAGGGTGGGACAAAAGTAGGTTTGTAGTTGTGAGTACCCAGTTTATTTTTTGTGTTAATAGTTATTAATTACTGTATTATTTTCCATATGAACAACTGTAAAACCTACATTTTCCCCACCCTGTACTCGCTGGGTCACAGGATAATTCTGAGTTCTGTCTCCACCCTTGTGAAGCCGGTTTATTAGTAAGTAGGAAGAACTCAAGACCGAATCAAGGCCTAGAACAGCTTCCATATGGAATGTTGGCCACACGGTGGCGCTGTTTACTTCTTCAAATCCACATTATTTAAAACATTTCTCTTGTATACCCTTGATTCTGGGACCAGCCTGGATGGGGCAGATCCTGCCTGCCAGCCTTGGAGCTCAGTGCGTTTCCTCCAAGGAGATCGCTGTCCGTGACTGGGAGCCATTCAAGATACGCATCACCCGAGCGCTCAGAATTCATCTTCAGATCTTAAATGACGTAGTCAGCTGAAGAGTGTCGGCTGACCTGGAGAAGAAGTGATCGGCATTGGGAAGCATGTTGCATTGGAGCAGCACTTCAGTCATCCTCTAGACCAGGGGTCCTCAAACTTTTTAAACGGGGGGCCAGTTCACTGTCCCTCAGACCGTTGGAGGGCCGGACTACAGTTTAAAAAAAGACTGTGAACAAATTGAGCAACAGGCAGCGGCGGCAAAAACACCCGGCGGGCTGGATAAATGTTCTCGGCGGGCCGCATGTGGCCCGCGGGCCGTAGTTTGAGGACCCCTGCTCTAGACTGCTGCTTGGGTACAGGAACAAGGTAAGGGATCATCATAGCTTTTTCTTTCCCCCCCTTTTTTTCATTATTATTTTTTAATTGAAATTCTTTATTGTTTAAAGTATTACATATGTCTCCTTTTTCCCTCATTGACCTCTCCCCAGCCGCTCCCACCCGCAGCACAGAGCTTTTTCGAGGGCTCTGTGAGCAAGCCCTTGGTGAGGGTGGAAGAGAAGAGCTGCCATCTGATGAGCACCTGTGAGGTGTTAAGCTCCTTACATTCACTGTCTATTTAAAAACCTCTAACTCATTTCACGAGGTAGGCATTATTCCCATTTTGTCGATGAGGAAACAGGCTGGATGGGTACATCTTTTGGTCCCAGGTTATACAGCCCAAAGAGGAGAGATTCCGTTTTAAACCCAGGTTTGACTCTTCCCACGGGTCCCCAGTTCTCTTTCTCCATGTGCTCGGTAAGGTGGAGCTGCGCCCTTGTAGCATCTATAACTAACTTAGGGAGACAAGATTCCTACAAGTATGTTTAATAAAATAAGGCAACAGCAACTTAAAATTCATGAAAGACAGTTACTTCTGTTGACATGGGAAATGGTCGCCATATATTGCTAAGGGAGGATAAGCAAGCTTGTGAATAGCAAGTTAGTCTTCAGTGGAGGCCAACAGTGGGAGGTATTGCCGGGATCTAGACAGCACCCGGAGGCTTCCCACTGCTTCCTACCAGCCAATCTCTTCTCAGGGTTAACCATTTCTACTCCATACTATAGGGTAGGGTTATCTGTTCTGCATACAAAGGAAATAATCTAGTATCTATACTTTTTGTTGTTGTTAATCCTCTAACCCAAGGATATTTCCCATTGATTTTTAGAGAGAGTGGTAGGGAAGGAGGGAGAGAAAGAGAGAGAAACATCATGTGAGAGAGAGACATCGATTGGTTGCCTCCTGCACATGCCCAGACCAGGGGTGGGGATCGAATCTGCAACCCAGGTATGTGTCCTTGACTGGAAATCAAACCTGCAACACTCTAACCACCGAGCCATGTTGGCCAGGGTAGTATGTATACTTTTAAAAATATATTTGCCCTGGCCGGTTTGGCTCAGTGGATAGAGCGTCGGCCTGTGGACTGAAAGGTCCCAGGTTCGATTCCGGTCAAGGGTATGTACCTGTACTGGGGATGGCCCGACAACCAAGGTACATGCCCTTGACCGGCAATCGAACCTGGGACCCTTCAGTCCGCAGGCCAAATCTCTATCTACAGAGCCAAACTGGTTAGGGCAATGTGTATACTTTTATGTTTAGTTGTGTTCCCCACATTTTGTCTGTGAGATTTATTCATGTTGTTGCATGTAGCAGTGACCTTTCCAAATTTCTGATTGCTATTCCATTGACTGGATATACTACTGGCTGATGGACATTTGGGTGATTTCAGATTTGGGGCTATTGTGAAAAAAGTTACTATGAATACCCTTTTACATGTCTTTTGGTTGATGTATTCGCTCATATCTCTTGAATATTTGGATTGTTTCCAGTTGGGGATCACTGAGAATAATGCTGCTATGAGCATTCTCATTACCTGGCTTTTGGTGCACATCTGTAGGCAATTCTGTTGGGGACAGGTCTGGTTTGCTGGGTCACAGCACGTGGATATTTAACTTGAGGAGATAGCCAGAGTGTTTTCAACACGGTGGTACCTCTTGCTTGCTGTTGACATTCAAATAACATTATTGGCAGATGTTCCCTGGATTGCATACATGGAGAGCAGGAAGCAGGGGGACAGGGAATGAGAAAGTGCACAGCAGAGGTCCGTGCGCGTAGACATGTTGATTCAGAGTCTCAGGGTCCCCAGGGTAGAGGAAAACCATGGTTTTGGCGACTCCCAGCAGGTCCCTCCAGATTGCCGGCTTGCAGCGCATCTGCACACCTGGGAGGCGGGATCTGTGGATACGCTCAGGCCCTGAGCTGTGCCCCCTGCCTCCAGCCCTGGTTTATCAGCCCTCGGAGGGCAGGACAGTGCCTTCCTAGCAGCTGGGCCCAGCTTTAGGCGGCTGCAGCTGCCCCAGGCAGGGCTTTTATTGTGAAAGGAGCTCCCCCTTCCGCGCTTTCGGGGAAGTGGAGAGGCTGGGCCAGGACTTGCCGCAGGGACTTTGCAAACTCTGCAAACGTTCCTAGCTGATCGGGGAGGCTCGAGGCTGCGGGAGGGCTCCCGCGGATCCCACGTGCATTTGCCCAGACCTCCTCTGTCAACTCCACCCGCAAGCATCCCAGCGCACATCGCACACCCAGGAGTTGTCCAGGGGCCACTTGGCTGCTGGGAAGCTGTGGACCTTTGGTCCTGGAAACCCACATCCAGGGAAGCCTGGCACGCCACTGCCGGGGCGGCCGGGGTGGCAGGATGAGCTGGTGAGCCGACTGAGCACCGAGGAGTGGGTCCAGCCATCGTGGGGGACATGGTAGGAATCGCAGGAGGGGCAGCGCGGTGGAGGGGTGGGGTGGACTCCCACACAGGTGGCCACTTGCAGCATGCACCCCTGTGGGCATGGGGAACCTGCGACCTGTGGGCTTGAATTGTTCCCCGAAGGTTCCGTGGGGGCAGTGGCACCTCTCATGTCTGCACCGAGGACGGGGCACTCAGCTTTGCTGCTTCCCTTGGTGGGGAGAACCCCAATTCCGGGCTTTCATGGTGGACCCGCACATTCTGTAACCTCCTCTCGTCTCTGCACAAACTCCATCCGATCCACAGGCCGGGAGGGAGAGGATTCTGGCAGGCACCCAAGGCGGCCTCAGATGTGTGAGCCCTCTTAACGTCGCTTTATTCCCCTGGCAAATGCATGTGAATTTTATATTCTACAGCTTAGCCACGTTTGAATATTAAAAAGTGCTGCCTTGCGTTTATTACCATAGAATCACATCGGCCCTGGTAAGGTTCCAATGCCTGGCTCCCACCCCTCTCCACCTCCCAGGACCACAGAAAGGTGTGGGAGCGCTGGCCAGTCTGGGCTGTCATTCACGAGGCTGGGGACCGTGTGAAAGCCCCTCTTCCATTGACAGAGCTCACAGACACCAGCGAGCAGAAAAGATGGTCAGACCCTCTGAGAACAGGACCGAGGCAGCTTAGCTGCAGCCCCCCTGCAGCTTTGGGAAAGGGTCTTCCCCTGGGGCGGCTGCTGATGAGCTCTGTTCCAGGTAGAAGCTACCTGCAGGTCCCACCCCACCGGCTCCCACAGTCCACCACCCTGCCCTGTGGGGTTTCAGTTCCTGGGATGGCTCTCCTGGCTGCATCTATGACCCTCCCCACGCCCATGCTCAGAGGGCAAACTGGAGCTCGGGAGATACTTCTCAGGGAGTGTCCTGTGGGCCTGGGTTTTAGAAGGGCTTTAGGGATTCCATGTGGGATGGAGGGTCTCCCCTGTGCAAGGGTGTCCTGGCAGTTTTGGCACCGGAGGCCCAGAGCTGGTCAACAGGAGCTGGGGGCTCAGGAAGGGTGCTTATGAGGCTGTGTGTGTGTGTGTGTGTGTGTGTGTGTGTGTGTGTATTCCATCTCCCCCTTGCCTACCCCTGAGGAACACCTTGTCCCCAATCCGCCTAAGTTTTCTTCTCACAGCAGATAAAGAGAAATTAAGGTTGAAAAGGGGGAGCGATTGAAGAAACAGAACGTGACACAAGTGTAGAGATTTTTCCTACAAAAGTCCCTGTTCAGGGGCAAGAGAGTTGCCCGAAGAGAGTGGAGGCCAAGGGCATCACTCAGAGGGCCATTGCTGGTGTGCGGGAGTCTCTGAGCTCCTAAGGTGTCTAGGGCACAGCCTGTCCGGTGCCCTGCGGTGGGGGTAGAGTGCAGGGAGGGGAGAACGTGCCTGCCTTCTGCTCTGGCAGCCGAAGGGGCATGGATTTGCTCCGCTGCCAGTGTGGCTTCCTGTTCCCCTGAGCCAGCGCTCCTGGCTTCTCAGCCTCAGTTCTGGGGTTGTGTTAGGAGGAGGACTGGTCAGGATGTCACTGCGTCAGGGTGCACTTGCCAGAGGTAGGGGCCCAATGAGCAACCTCTGGCAGCAAAATGGCCTTGAGATCTGAAGGCTTCCTTTGCTTCTCCCTCTGCCGGAAGGGAGGGTCCTGTGGTCCAGAAGCCTGGGGCCCCAGGGGCAGCCAGGCACTGGCTGGACCCAGCAAAGGAAGAGGCGGGGGGCTGGGAATCCTCCTCTGTAACATGAGAGATTGGACCAGATGTTCATGGAGACTCCATTGCACTCCAAAAATGGATGATGTGTGAATAATGTGGAAGTCGAACTCTACAACCCTGGTGGTGGCTTAGATGGTGTGGGGAAGAGGGGGTTCCAGCCCTGATTCTGTCGGTTCCCCAGACCAAATCCAGGAGGGGCCCGGATCATGGTATTTTTCTAAGGCTCCCAGGTGATCCCAGGATGCAGCCAGGACTGAGAGCCACAGGGCTAGAAGGCTGGGGTTCAGAACCGCACCTTCCTGGTAATCCCTGCACCAGTAGAGCTGCCACTCTGTGATCACAAGTTCTGAAATGGAAGGTTTGGGGGGAAATTCATCTGGGAAATAATGTATGCTACACCCCCACTTGGGGAGTCCTTCCATAGAGAAAACTTCTTAAGCTCATTAAAATGTCCCCAACTTGTTTGAATATGGAAGCCTTTATCCAGTAATTCCTTCACACCATCATTTTTTTTAAAAAAATATTTTTATTGATTTTTTACAGAGAGGAAGGGAGAGGGATAGAGAGTTAGAAACATCGATGAGAGAGAGACATCGATTAGCTGCCTCCTGCACATGCCCCACTGGGGATGTGCCCGCAACCAAGGTACATGCCCTTGAATGGAATCGAACCTGGGACCCTGCAGTCCGCAGGTCAATGCTCTATCCACTGAGCCAAACCAGTTAGGGCTCACACCATCATTTTATGGATCCAAGGTACATAAGATGGGAAAGCCTCAGTTGGAAATGTAAAGCTAAAAGTCTGGAATCCTTAAATGTCTTTTTGCAAAGATAAACACTGATCTGCAAGACCTGAGGGCATTTTAAAAAATGTTTATGCTGATTTTAGAGAGAGGAATGGGAGAGAGAGAGAGGAGAGAGAAATCAACAAGAGAGAGAGAGACCTTGATCCGCTGCCTCCTGCATGCCTCCTACTGGGAATCAAGCCCACAACCCGGGCATGTGCCCTGACAGGGAATTGAATTGGTGACCTCTCGGTGCATGGGATGACACTCAACCAACTGAGCCACGCCGGTTAGGGCCTGGGGCATTTTTTATTCTGCTGAAGGCGAATTGAAATCATACCGAACCTGCAGTTTCACAACCTGATTTGTCTTACTTCACCTTTTATCAAAGCGAGTTTCCACGCCCACATTTTTAATAACCATACTTCTAATCAGTACCAGGATTTTTATAATCGTCTCCCTGCTGTGGACTTCCCACTTGGGGCTGTTTTCAGGGGCACATGGCCAGCTTCTGACTCTCCGTGGAAATGGGGCTCTGAGCGCCCAGCTAAGTGGAAGTCAGACAAGCTCACGGGAACTAATTGCTTCAGCCTCTTCATCAAAGATTTTCCCGCAGCTCGCCACCCACAAGGGCCGGAGCATGGGTGTGGGGGGCACGTCCCCGGTCTATCTGCGTTCTGTGCTGTCAGCATGTCATCAGGCAGGCACCATGAGGGGAAACGGGGGCCCCAGGAGAGCCCACACATGGGTCAGTTCTCCTCGAAAGAACCAAGAGCTAAAATTGCTGGAGGTTAAGCTCAGAGGGGGTCAGTCTCCAGGCGAAGAGTCCAGGTGAAAGAAGGTGACCCGAAGGTCACTCTGGCCTGGGGCCTGGGTCTCAGTTCTTCCTCTCCCCGCTCCGTCCGTGTGCAGGTCCCTCACAGACACAGCGGCCTCTTCACGTGCCTGAGGCATTGCGTGCAGCCTGGAGTGATGGGGGAAAGGCAGGGGCCTGAGCCAGAATGAGGTTTGTGCCAGACTAGGCTGCTGTGTGGCTTGGAGCAAGCCTTCTGCTGTTCTGAATCTCAGACTGCTTGTCTATAAAATCAGTTGTTTCAGGGAGCAAATGGAATCACAGAGGTGAAAACACTCGGTGCCCCAAAGGTGCTAGAAGAAGAATGCGGCTGTTACCGAGGTCCCTCAAAAATAGGTTTCCCTTTGGTCAAGACCAAAAGCCAACAGTCAAGCAGGCCCTACGGAAGTCACCACGCATTCCATTCAGTACCAGCCGACGGGGTGCTCTGGGGTTCTTCTGTATGTGTGGATCCGGTGCAGACAGTTCCTCTTCTAGAACAGTGTTCTTGCTCCTTTAAACCTCTCTCTTCACCAGGCAGGAAATGCCCAGAGTCCGGAGAGGTTGGCCCAGGCTTTGTTCCCTGGGCCTCCGGGCTGGGTGGAAGGCAGCCCCCTCTCAGCTGCAGCCCCTGGGGTCTAACGCTGGCATTCGAGTCCCTCATGAAGTTAAACCGGTTTTGGAATCAGAACTGGCAATCCAGGCTGAGCCTGAAGGAATCGGATACCCTCTGTGTGGTCACCCACCTCACCCGCAGCTCCTGCTGCATTCATGAGCCAGGTGAGCACAGGGCTGCTGGGAGCAGAGGGTTTTAAACAATCCCTTGGCCCAACCACACCAAGCAGGAGTTGGTCCTAAAACAGTGCATTTTAGGACTGGGGATGGAGGGTGGATTGGCCTCACAAAGAAATGAGGGCCCTGGCTGTTTCAGGGGCCAGGGGGAGAACCGTGCATCAGGCGGGCCGCAGAGATGCTGACAACCCCTTCGGAGGAGGCTGGGTGCTCCAGCCCTCCCTCTCCATGCACAGTACCAATGTGCAAACAGTTCTCCAGGAGGCCCCGGTGTGCGCCACCTGAGCTGCCTTTGCCGGGATGGTTTGTGATGTGACTGCTAATGTGTTTCCATCTGGGGCACAATCCCTGTATTGTTGGGGGTGTCTACACTGGCCTGCATCTACAGGCCTGAGAACGAGGATGCAGCGGTGCTTTGTGGGTGACTCCGGGCTGCCTTTCTCTGTGTGGACCTCTATGTCCTGCACAAGCACAGACACCTGGTCCTGGAAGTGGCCTGGGTCTGGCCATATTCCCGAGGGCCTGGCCTGATGGCTCCAGAAGTGCTGACTGAGAGGAAGCTAGGAGGTGCTTTAAGTAGCAGCTGGTGACTTCAGGGTGAAGGGATGAGAATGGAAGGAAGGGCGAGGGGATGTGGGGTGCAACGAGATAAGGAAACAGTGGGGACCCGTGCTAGTCTCCAAGCCTGGTTTTGATGAACATGTGCCTCTTTTGGGCAGGGCACGAGTCTTACTGCCCGTGGCTTTGGAATTCTTGAGTGGCACATCTAGAAGGCCACGAAAGGGGAATGCACAATCTATGATGAGTGCATATGGCGCTCCCTCTCGCTCCCTGCTGCCTTCTCATCCATCCATCCATCCATCCATCCATC